ACGTCCAGGTGTTATTTTTATGCAGAGCATCAATTTCTTCTTGCATTACTTTGACCCAATGTGTGCTTTGAAGTGCCTTTCGAACTGTTTTAGGTTCCATAATATCAGGACCTGCAAATTGCAAAATAGACTTGTTAGTTACCATGGTATTTGCATTCTTTGGAAATATGGTTTTAACATGTCCAGTATGAGCTCCTGTACGGGCTCTTGTTTGCATAGGATGAGTAGAAATAGAAACATTGTTATAAGAAGGTGGTGACATGCCACTCCGATTCGGAACCACTAGTTCAATAATTTTCTAGTTTCCAGACTGTTCTTAGGTTCTTTGATATTGAATTTCATTTCCTTGGTCTTCAGGTACTAGTTCGCTTTGATTTTCTTTTGTAGGAGCAAGCATAGGACTGTTATTATTTTCTGTTGTCCTTATTGTTCCATTGTCTTGACTTTGTTGTGATGACTCATCCTCATTAACTGATGGAATTGCACTAATTCTATTAATGGCAAGTTAAGAGTGCTCCTCCTCACTTGTAAGATTTGTGAATTGTTGAGGTAGTGTTGAAATTGAAGGCACGTCAGCTATATCCTTTAATGGTTGTAAATGTGAAACAGCTTGGAGCCATCCCTCAGAATCTGGGTATTTGCAAAGTTCCCCATTTGTATCAACATTCTTAGAAATGTTGGTTAGATCTGTATAAGGTAAGAAATGCTCATCAAATGCAACATGCCTAGAGATATAAACACGTTGAGTAGAAGGATGTAGACATTTATATCCTTTGTGGATTGGACTATATCCAATAAATACACATGGAAGTGACCTTGGCTGGAGTTTATTAGTTGTATAGTTGCGAAGATAAGGAAAACGCCGGCAACCAAACACCTTTAACATAGAGTAATTTGGAGATTTATCAAAAAGTAAGTGAAAAGGACTTCTATTATTTAACAAAGGAGTAGGCAGCCTGTTAATGAGATAAGTTGCAGTAGAGAAACTCTCAACCCAATACCTTAGTGGCATGTTTGCATGAAAAAGCATAGTCAAACCTGTCTTAATGATATGCCTGTGTTTCCTTTCTGCAACTCCATTCTGTTTTGGAGTTCCAGTGCATGAAACTTTTTGTTGAATGCCACACTCTGCCAAGTGATTAACGAATGTTGTGCTAGAAAATTCTCCCCCACCATCACATTGAAATATTAGGATGGTCCTTTGAAATTGATTCATAATCATCTTCTGAAATTTTTGGAAGATGGTGAAGAATTCAGACTTCTTATGTAGATGATAGAACCATGTGTACCTACTATAGTCATCCACAAAGATTACATAATATAGAAAATGATGAGTCAATTGAACAGGAGAGGGCCCCTAAAGATCACAATGTATTTTATGAAAAGGGAATTTCGCTCTTTCATTATTTCTTGTGAATGGCAATTTACAACTCTTCCCCATTTGGCAACTTGTGCATAAGTGGGGAGGTGTAGTCCATCTTGACACTACAATGTTTTTCTTTGAAGATAAATTCTTTAAAATGCGAGAATTGGGATGTCCAAGGCGTTGATGCCATATGGTGTCAGCAGCCTTATTTGTCATAGTTGCAAGAGCATATTTTTCCCTTTCATCTGAGGCATAGAGTTGGCCCTTTCTAGTGCCTTTGGCCAGTACCACCTGTGTTATTTGATCCTTAACCACAAAACCAAAAGATGAGAACTCAAAGATATATGGATTTTCTTCAGTAAACTAGCTAATGGAAATAAGATTCTTTTTAAGATTAGGAACAACTAAGACATTATTAAGTTTTAATGGACCAACAGACATGGATCCAATGTGAGTGATGTGCAAAGGTGTTCCATCACCTGTGTAAACCTTTTGCTTCCCATTATAAGGCCTTTTAAAAATAAGATTACCTATCCTTGAGGTCATATGATCACTGGCTCCAGTGTCTGCATAAAAGGTTTGATCCTTGTCATCTTCTAGAGTAATTGTTGCAAGTGCTTGAGGTAATTCTTCACTTTGGTAAGCATGATCAAACCTATACCAGCATTTCAAAGCAGTATGACCATTAATTCCACAAATTTGACAAGTTTTCTCACCTTGTGATGTCACAGTCTTTGGTTGAAATTTCTTCTGTAACATACTTTGTTGTGGTGTAGGATTGTTGTTAACTAAGGGGGTTTTGGTGTTACTGGACCAGTTATAATTTCCAGCTTGGACAAAACCTCTCCCCTTAGAATTGAACTGCTTGCCACCATAGCCTCGACCTCTTTGACCTCTTCCTCTTTGGGCCATAAACACGTGTGTATACGTAGATACTTGTGATTTATGTTCTTGTTCTTGAACCTGCAAATCTCGTTCATTGTTTAGTAAGCCTGCAGTGTATTGATTGAAGGTAGGATATGGTGCTTTTGAGAGAACGGCAAGGTTGTAAGGCAGATAACGAGTTCCCACAACTCTAGAGAGTTGAAAGACTTTATCAAGGTCAGCAACAAGTTTGCGAATAGCAGCTAGATTATCACATGTCCTTTTAAACTTTCTGATGAAATCATCAAGTGATTCACCATCTCCTCGCTTGGTAGCCAATTGTCCCTTGAGATGCAATTCACTTTCTTTTGAAGACGCCAGATAATGCTCTTCAAGGCACCTCCAAATTTGTAGAGCTGAGTCGCAGCCAACAACCAAACTAAGTGATTCTTCATTCATGGTTCCAAGTATCCAACTGGTAAGCAATCCATCATTACTTAACCAGACATCATATTCTGGATTACCCATTTCATTGCCATCCTTGATGATAGTCTGCACTGGTGCTTCTTCTTCCAAATGATGGAGAAGCTAAGCACTTCAAATTAGTGGGTAAACTTGAGATTTCCATAGCAAGAAATTGGTACTTGATAATTTGACAGATACCAAACTTGCCATTTGATGGAAATTTTGGATAGTGAGAGTGCTTTTGTTCTTAGCCATGAAAAATTGTTGGATAATTGAAAAAAAAAAATATTGAGAAAGCAAGGTTCAAATGGGATATTCAGATGCAGTGAGCAACCTGCTCTGATACCATGAGATACCGTGAAGAGTTTAAGGGAATAAAGATTTTGGGAGAATACTGATTCTATATTCAGTTGTATGATATTCTATACAAGCATATACCAATATATACACTTATAGGAGCTAATCTAGATGCTGTAATTGAGGTACAGTTAAGGAAACTATAGATTGCTTTACTAATATAATTTGATCGTTGCTTTCAGAGATGTTGCTTCTGTCTCTCCTCAATTTCTGTTGTGTGAATGATTTCTTGCTTGTTTTCATTATCTCTGGTCTCACGCCTTGATTGATTTTGTCTTGTGCCTTCATAAGAAGGACAAGTGGGAACCTCAAATTCTTCTTCTTGGTCTATACGTTCAGGGTACAGTGATTCCCAAGTAACATTATCTGATACATACTCTAAGTGCATAACAACATGTACAACATCTGGTGTCAGCTCATTCCAGTGATCAATCTCACTGTCATTAAAGTTCAAGAAACCAATCCCTTGGTATTGATTACTGTCAGTCAATTTCTCAACAACATTTGATATCTGGTCCCAATTTATATCCAGGTTTGATACATAATGAGGATCTTCAGAGTAATCTCTCATTGATCTCTCTACAAAACTAGGTCTGCACACAACAAAATCCCCTTCAAGATACAAATAAATGTGCACATATTTATGTAGCACACTGACATGAATATCAACACATGAACAGAAATGTGAATAAAAAACGGGTGCTTCATGCCACTGTAAAGAAATTCAATATAACTCAATTAAAGAAGAAGACTTCGGGTTTTTAGGATATACTGCTGGATTTAAGCTTAAATATCTATATTCAAAAAGGATATACACCATAAAGAGCAGTAATTGTTTATTTTTCTATCAATGGAAACTATCAGAATTTAGAATACTATGTGTTCAAATTCAAACCAGGAAGTAAAAGTAAACGAGGCAGGAAGGCAAAATAAATACTGAGATCTAAAATCGGAAGGACGGATCTGTATTGTAAACTGCTGGAGAGTGGAAGATAGTCAGAATACATCCCAAAAGACTAACAATGAGCACAGCTTTGAAGGCAAATATCTTGTAGTTAAAAATCTTCAGCCGAATGGGAACATGAGGAGCCCTCTCAACATCTGTAGAATCCTTACTTCTTGGAAACCATCTTTTCTTTGCATCTTCACTGTAACTAAGCAACACAAGTATATCAGCTGAAGTGGATGAAGCAAATGAATAAGGTCAAAAGGCAGAAAACTGAAAACCCAAGGTTTATGATGCTGAAGACAATTTGCAACCATAGGGAATGCCTGTCCTTTAACTTCATCAGATATACTATATGTATTAGCTAAAGTAAAATCTTTATAGAGATAAACAGAAACAAACAAGAGCTTAGCCAAGTTTCCACCCACTAAGTCAAAACCTTGATTCTGGGGTTGAATCCTTGCAATGCGAAGCACTTTCCTTGCCAATCAAAAAAAAAAAAAAAGAGATAGAGATAAACTACCCTGTCCGTTGGAGTTATCTAACTAAATTAAAGAACTGACTCTAGACACCATCATAAAAAAGTGACTGCTTAAGTATGACAAAAACCTTTATGGGTACTTTCACTTTAGGGCAAAGATTAAGAAAATAAGTACCAATCAGCAAGAATCCGACTATCATACATAAGCACAATTACTGACAGACGGTTGTAGGTTAAATAAAATCAAGAGGAATAGCCTAAACAGCTCTATGATGAATCCTTTCAAGGTAAAACCTCTCCAATGCTAATCTCAAAAGTGCGAAACATATATGCATATTGTGCAACTCTTTCAGTGATAATGATCCATTGTCAAGGTGCTTACGGCAAGAATGGAAGAACCCAAAATGCAACAGAAACGCTGAATTGGATGGAACTAAAGGGCAAAGAAACACTCTGCTTTGACCAACAGGCAAGATTTAATCCACCATGTAGTGTGCTTGACAAAAAAAAAAAAAAAAA